CCACTACACTCTTCACAAAAAAATTATTACTGCTGATGTGGTTAAAACGATTTCTATCGATCGTCCAGCTTCAACAATCACAGTTCTTGACGTAACGGAAACCGGAAGGTAAATACAAAAATTTACAGCATAATTGAATTTCCAGTTACCTCAATCATACGAAATTAAATGGTTTCAGTTTTTTAAAATGTAACATTGCAATGTTTTCAGAAATACGTAAGATTAAATCAAAACATAGCGATGTATAAATGATCAAAATCACGGAACACAAACAGAAAAAAAAACACCAAAATATAAGAATTGTCGATTCAGAGTAAGAAAGCCATTAGAAAAGGGATGAGCTTTGTGTAACGCCATAAGTATATCGATACAACGAAAGCCATAAACAACTTCTAAAAGGAGATCTACGATTGATATCCGTCTCAACGCACCTTGATAGGCGAAAACCACTGAAAAGACTAGGCGTATTTGATCGTTTCAGCTCTTAGATACTTCAGCAATTGTTTATGTAACCTTATGCTTTGACTGCGATAAACCTAAGGCACATAAATCAGCGAAAGGAAATAAAATACGCAAACAAGGATACATGTTAAATCTAGATCAAACCCCTCCTCCTGGAATCGCCTCTTCTTCTTGCTGACGAGAGCTTTGAAATAAGACATTCTCCCCGAAATGTTTCGACAATCGATCAATCAGCCTGCTGCAAAACCACTCAACAAAAACCTGCTCGTCAAGAATCAACAGTCCTTCAGCTGAAGTTGCATTTCCAGTTATTTAAATAAGAATAACCCCGCTACAAAATCGTGAGTGTAGGTATGCGAAATTCTTCCCGTGCTAAACAGTTTTGGAGCAAAATTCAAACACATTTTACAACGCCATCCGCCATGTTTGCCGCATGCCGAAGCTCCAGCAGTGGCTACAATGTTTCCTAATATGGTTAGTTGAAGAGAGAAACTGGGGAGAATTTGAGCCCCGCGCCTTTGCGAGCGCCTTTGCGAGCGCCTTTGCGATCTTCCGGGTTCAAAAGCATTCAAAAGCACTGGATGGCTTTGCGTATCGGCGCTAAAAGCTGAAAACCTTTCCGATATGTGACTCTCTACTTTCTAGATCGGCTCGGCACAGCTTCGCTGAGTTACAGAAATATGTGAACAGAACCCCTATCCGGTATGCAGTTCGCGCCGGAGCAAAAGCTTTCCGGTCAGTGTGAAAATAAGCTAAATAGAAAGGATACATGTCAAATCTAGATCAAATCCGTCTTCAGTGTACCGGATTTTTTTCTTGCTGACACAACGCTTAAGAAATTCCACAATGCAACCCATGAAGGAAAATTAGCTGAAAAAAAAAATGGAAAGAACAGAATATTATTTTGAGGGAATCTTGTGTAATCGAGTAGTTCTAGAAAGAAACGTGAGTTGAAAGCAGAACTCAGTTCTATGACCTTTTGATTTCACCGACAATGGACAATTAGCAACCTGCAGAATCGCAATATCTGATGCCGATTTAGTCTCCCCGCAGACGTCCCGTGGGGTTCATTCGTCACGCAACCCCAAAAGGACGTCTGCGGGGAGGCTAATGCCGATTCAGAGGGTCTAAGTTCGTTTAAAAGCCAAACAGAACAGTATTCACGATATATCAATATTAACATTGTATTGCCTTGAGAATCGGATCAAGCAGAAGCCCCTGGACCGGATCATAGCCTAGAAAGAACGGGCGCGCGCGAGGGAGACACACACTCATTAGCGCCTGCTACGCAGGCTACTGGATCAAGGTGCTATTGTTTAGAGACCCACAACCGCCCCAAGCAGGGGCACCCAACGTCAATTTTCGGATCTGTTCGGAAGACGATTGAGATCTAGAATTTTCGGAACATTTGTTGTAAAATTTCTTGCTTGCCTGCCTCTCCTAGGATTTTCGAACATCTAAAAAATGGTATAATTGCCCATTTTAACGGATTTTTACCCTAAAAAGGTCACCTAGAATTTTCGGGAGCCTTTTTTCTGGCTGAAATTTTCAAAAAGGTAAGTTTTGATCCCTACAATTTTTGGATCACTAGACTTTCAGCTAGGAAATCCGAACAGATGAGATATTTTTAGGGGATAAAAATATGCCTTTGAATACTAAAATACGTTTAACAGTGCTGTGTTTAAGTGGTTTTGAACTATATTCTCGTTGGGTGCCCCTGACCAAGATTATTATGCCTGTGTAAAAACAAAACAGAAGCACCGCTGAGATCCCAATAGAGGATCCGTTTTAAACAATAAAAAGCGAGGCCGAAATTGCTTCAAGTTCCTTCACTGCTACATCAGTGTTGCCTTTTTTCGTTTACTGGCTTTACGGTCAACTGCATGATGTGGTAAATTGTATCGACCAACTGGAGTACCCAGAATCAATCATTGAGAAAAGACAACAGCTCTTGAAATAATTAGTAAAAAAGAAAAATAATGATAGAAAGTTAAAATATGTAAATTACCTAAAATACCACAGTTTTGTTGATGAATTCTTGCGAGCTTTGTCGACTGTATCGTCACGGGGCAGCTGAGATCTTCTAACGCTTGTTTTCAAAACTTATCACAAATTATGACCTAGGTACTGACCACTGTAGAGATTAAAAAATCCAGTACTCGGTAAGAGCTCTATTTAAATAACGGCTTCAATTTCGCTTATTCGGCACGCCGTCTTGACTTCTTCTAAAATATGTGGCTTTCTTCAGCCGTTTAATTTAAAACCTCAGCAAGTGTTCTAAAATTAAAATTGAAAGCACGCAGATCAAGATTATGACGAGGTTCTATAAGGTCAAGAGTATGACTGTTTAGTTCATGATGTTGCTACCGGATAGGATACTTACGCTAAGGGAAATTCCCAGCCTAAATCATTAATCTATTAAAATAACAACTGGGTTATTTACGTTGATGATGTTCTGGAATTTTCGGGGATTTTCGTAATCTCGTTGGAGAAGAACATTTTCTATTTATATGTATTGTGGTTCAATTTTATCCTTGGTTTAAATTTTATTTTCCTTCGTTTTGGGGAATGGTAATGTATGATAATGAGTTTAAAACAAAGGGAATTAAAATTTAAACCAAGGATAAAATTGAACCACAACATATGTATAGTCTAATTTAATTTAGGTGTTTGGACATCACTGGTGGTTCTGGAACAGGCAAGAAAGATACTAATTTTATTTACTGATTCACGGCCAAAATGGATGTCTGTCATGTCTCATTCGGCACAGAACTTCACCATCTTGGAAATGTTCGGCTGATGAAAGTGTTCTGTACGTAAATTCCAGACTAATTTTGTTTTAAAAAAGTTACCATATGTTGTTCTTTTTTCACCATAAAATTTTGGCTATTGGCAATAAGAATTTTGAAAAGTTCTGAAACCTTACCGGAACAAAGTTCCAGGAGATCCTGATAATGTTGAAAAAGTTATTAAACCCACATCCTTATAAGGAAACTTTTTTATAAGGAAACTTTAACTTAGTTAATGAATAGAATCTACATAAATAGGAAGTTCTTACTTTACATTTCTTACGTTCCGCTGTTCAGGTTGTGTATGTTGTATCATAGTTAAGTTCAAGTTATGTTCTTGGGAGACTCCACTTCCCTTTGAGGAAAACTGAACCTAAAATAAATAAACAGGGAGACTGAAACAGCTCCCACGTGGCCGAATCAAAAGGGAAATGAATGAAAAGTGACAGTTCATTTTCACAACAGGTCAGTAGCGAGTCAGAGAGACATATGGCTAAGACGACTACCGGCGTTAAAGTCAAATTGTTTTGTAATAAGCTAGAGGTTTCGCGGGGTCAGGCGTAGACTCAGTAGACGTCAACGCTAGCCCACTTGTCATGTACACATTCCGAAGTCTGCTGAGCTCTAAGTATCATCCAAATGATGTTACTAGAAGGGTCAATGCGGTTAGGAATAATAGGACACGCTAATTGCAGTGCAAATAAATAAGGCTTCCCACTGAGGAAGGTTCAGTACCGGAGATGACGTCAAAACCACTTAATAAATATACAACCTGTTCGGCGGTCCTTGAATATGCTGATGCTCCTTTTAGTACCTAATTGTGGTTAAAAGGAATTTGAATTTTAACTGTACCCACCAGCACCAGCTTCCCGTTCCCTGTATCTCCTAGTACCCGGAAGTAGATTCTGATGGCCTGCATAATTACAAAATCACATTAGAATATTCCCTCTGTTGATAAATTATTGGTTCTCGTCCAAGTTTTCCTCTAAATGGTTTATTTCAAGCTTTCCCCTATGGATCACGGGCTTTTAGTTTAGAATTCTGTTTAGACACATAACACAAATTACTCTGCCATGTACCCATTCACAGATCGCATTTCGATCTTTCCTAAACATTGATTTGCGATCTTTCCTCTTTAATTATTAACTGGATTTAGGAAAGATCGAAGTCTGACTCTATAGCAAAGAAAATACAAATCCTCACTGAACCTCACTTTGTCGACATAAGACACATGAACTTTTAAAAGTTGAATTAGCTTTCCTAGATATACCTTAAGAATTGTAGATGAGACTGAGCTAACCTCAGTGCTCCCCACCCCACCCCCATTTCTTCCATTCATCAGCCGGAACTGCAACTGCTTTCTATTTTGAGTACATCGTTGTAAGAACAGCCCCGCCCCTCACCTAACGCTAAGCTCATAGTCATACGAACCGGAAGAATTAGGTTGCCTTTAGTTCCTCAGAATCCGGAGCTGATACAGTGGCATGTCAGTTCCTCAAGAAATATCTTACCCGGTCTAAAGTAAATATCGAAAATCCTCAGCCGGACTTAGGATTTTCGATATTTACTTTAGATCGTAATAATGTCAAAATACACTTCGCAGCTGAATCTTATCTTCTTTTAAGAGCCTCTCGTGTTACTCCCTGTATTCAACTTGAGTCATTGTCAAGATATTATTCTTGTTTCTACTAAGTGTCTTTTTCCTGTTTCCAGTCTAAAATGATTTTCAGGCTACTATTCATTTTAAGTTTAGTCTAGGCGGGTTATCTCGTCGGGTGCCGTAATTCTATTTTCAGTTTCATCCGCATACTGAACGAAATCTGTTGCTTGTTCTAAGGCCGAAAACTGTTCCTCGGGAGACGAAGCATTCGCCTCGACATCATCCACTGACCTAGCCGCATTTCTGCGACGACGTCTCTCTTCACTACTCATCTTTGGCGCTGAAGAGCCTGCGCACTCTCGTAGCACCTCATCGCTGACGTCACAGAAAGGCAACGCTGAGAATAATTGAAGCGAAATCTCCCATGATGCCATTTGCGTTTCCTGCCAGCCAATGTCTCCGCTGAAGGGCAGCAGGTTCATGTAATACCTTCGTACCACGTCTGGCTCACTCCAAAGCTCGTTTACCAGGTTAGTAACACCAAAAAAGGGCAACTGTATGAGGTAATATATATTCATCCAAAACGACGATGAAATCATTTTCGTGCTAACAGGTGGTGATTCCTTTCTTGGCAAAGAAATGTTCTGCGAATCGGTTTGGTCTTCGTAAAGTGGTTCACAAGCTCCTTTTTTCCCGGCTTTCCGGAAAAGTTGCTCGTCTCTTCCCATCCGCTCTTCTCGGGAAGGGAGCCAAGAGCAGAATGAGCGACGGAAACCAAACTTGGATTGCTGAATGTTTGACTCGGCTTCAGTCACATCAATGCGGACATCGTCAAAAGCGTGTGCACATGATGGACGGTTGGTTGGAATTTCGGGCAAGTTAAAAGACACCCTATGCTGCAAAAAACTCTGCCGCGTTCTCCTGTACCCCTCTTCATCTCCGATTTCCCTGTATAAACGGCACAACTCTTCACATCGGGCTTCATAACTTCGTATCAGCCTCCTGTCTTCTTCCCTTTCTCTTTGTTCGGTGCACTTTCGACAGTCACAGCTACTTTCATGCTCCGCCGGTTCAGTGCGCGTGGCTATAATGACTGGTTCCGGTCGTGGATAACCATAAAAGGTAGCGTAGATCTTTCCAACTAGCCAAATTAAGATACCAGCAAACAGCATAAAGCCAAAAGTACCGAACACGACGATAACGGTCCAATATTGATTAATACTGCTTTTGGTAGCGGTTGACGCAGCAACCGTGGTAGCACTTGAAATCACCGAGGAAGCCGCACCTATGATAAAAAGCACTTGCCTCAGTACGGTGAGCGCGTGTTTATGCGTTTCTGTGTTTTTCTTCTTATTTGTCATATTTACGAAAAAATTATTGGTATTGCAAATGTAGACCGCTCGTTGCAAGGATTAGCACTGTATGAAAGGCTCCCAGCTCAGAAAGACACTCTATGGAAATAGATATTTAAGCTTATTTAGGAAAAACTTATTGGTACTGCAAATGTAGACCGCTCATCGCAAGTATTAACACTGTATGAAAGGCTTCCAGTTCAGAACGACACCCTGTTCAAGGCGCTTAATACTGAAATTGTATACCCTGTTTGACTCAAAACCTTGAAAACCATACCCTGTTCAGCGGCACATACCTGTAAAGGCCAAATCAGGGAGTGCTCCGGGGGTGGGGGACATTCCACTTTTGTACTTTTGTTTCCACCAATTAAAGCTTGCTAATTTGCGCAATTCTCTATGTTCCAATTCCCCATAATACACTCTGTTTGCCCCCCAAATTTTGCATAAACCATTGTTTTTAAATGCTCCTGGGAGTACTGCATTTTCCCAAGAGCATTTTAAGACAATAAGTTATATCAAGAGATAGCCATTATTCTCTGAATTTTGTACAGATATAAGATTACTTTTAACCTACCGGTACTGGAGTCTTCAAAATGAGAAAAAGGGCGTCCATCGCATAAACCAACAGAGATGAGAATTAGCAGCATAATCGCACCGGCACCAGACCGTGTTTTGCAGTGTTCAGTCATCTGAAAGAAACAAGGAAAATATTTTGTGAATGAAATCCAACAGTACGTAATAATCGTTCCTTCAATGGATGACAAACAAAATCGTGGTTTCTTTCTAATTTCCTTGCATGGCAAGGAAAATAATGTTTATGTTAATCGCTTCCTGGAACCCCCTAACTCCAAAGAGACCAGCCACCAGAAAGCGTCATAGTGCGCATGCGTTAAATGTTCAGTCTATTCAGTTTTAGATTTATTTGACCGCTAAATCACAAGACTAGTTGCGTTCCGGACGAAATTTGCCTTAATGCTCACAAACGTCCGCACAATCCAATTTCGCCGTTGATGTTCTATCGACTTCTAAATAACCGCTTTTTGTCCCTTACTTTGAAAGTTCTCAACCAATTAGCTCCTCTTTGATTGACACTTCGTGTCTCAGTTCCCATCAACCAAAAACGGAAAACCGTATACTTTTCTTTTTAATTGGGAGCAATGTGGATTTATTGATTCCCTCTAAGTATAAAAGGCTATGACCAAGGTCAAGAAGTGGAGGATTCGCAACAGTGACAGACGATCGACAGGAAACCTTTACTCACTTCAAAAATAAGTCTCCACAATAGGTATACTTCTTACTTCTCAATCATCCTTTATATACCATGTAATTACTCTGAGATCCAAAGCAAACGTCTAACTTGTTCGGAAGTCGGCTTAGAATAACCTATTGATGACAGTCACCGCGTAATAAACGTTTTGGTTTAACCTCGCGCGCGCTTTCGTTAGAGGTCGCGCACGTGCTCGCCTGTTTGAAAGAAATTGATTCCCTGGAACCGTGCGTGAGGCTACAGCTATAAAACTGAAGAATTCGTAACAGCACAGTGTTTGAATATGAGCTGGCATTTGCGCAAGATTTTTCCCAAGTCTTAATTACGAGTATGCCTTGCCACCTTATAAAAAATGATCGCGAATGTATATAGTGGTTGACTAGTACTCTTTCATTGGTCACTGGAAATTAAGTTGTCTTTCTTTCACTTGTCTACTTTTACCGACCATTCTAGCAGTCAGTCGTATTAAATCAGACGAAGGACTAATCTGAAAGCCTACGGTTAAGCCAGTTAGTAGTTAGACAGGGTATTCGGTCAGTACTGAATATAGGAGCTGAGTTTAATTTCATAAGATCTCATCTTCCAGATTTTAACCCTTGTTTAAACATTTGCTTGAGAACACGACAAAAAAATTTATTGGCTAGGTCTGAAAATGGACAGAAAAATGTTTCTAAAGGGGTATAACGAGAACTTAAGTAGGCCCGTACTTTGCATGAAAAAAATCGAGAAAACTCTTTCCGTCAATAAATTTTAACTTACGTTTCTTCTGACATCTCTGTACTCCAACTTATATTAATTATAAGTTACCTCTTCTTCGTTCATCTTCGGATGATAATGAAGTTATAAATATATGATGAAAATCATATCTAGCGCTGCACCGGTATCGCAGAGTAAAGGGTTCGAATCCCGTACAAGCCTGAAATTTTTTACGCTTTCTTATCGCAACTGCAAAAGTTGCGTTTAAAACTGCGATGATCCTCTTTCATATAATTGTTATTGTTGTTGTCGTTGTTGTTAGTACGAACTTTGTTTACCTAATTCCCCTTACTAGTTACTTGATTACATTTTGTGTTTCACATTAGTATCCAGGAATAAACATCATTGGTCAATTGCCCGGTCGGTGCACAGGATCACGTGATGATAAGATTGTTCTGATTGGTTGTCATTATGACTCCTCTAATACATCTCCTGGAGTGGACGATGGCGGATCAGGAATGACCGCTTTACTGCAGGCTCTAAGGCTTTTCACCGCCAGCCGGACCCGGGTTAAAAGACCAACTCTGACCACTATAACTGACAACTGGGTATTTAAACAAAATGTGACATTAACATTGAGTTTGTGATTGTTTGAGAGGAGTGCTTGCAATCGATTGCAAGATAGCTAGAGCAGGTAACAGTGTTCTAGTCTTCCGTTAGAGATATAGAAACAAATCGGTGTTCACGTCTCCTGCTACGGATCGAACGCCGTAAATTTAAGTTGTATCTTTAACTCAGAAAAGATCTGTGAGTACAAATATGCAGTAGATTTAAATATCCTACTTGGTTTTTAATTTATGAAAAAATACCTGTTGCAGTAAAACCTGGTGGAGAGAACTCAATGGAAGAAAACGTAAGAAGAAAAAATAGTGACGTACCTTCATGAGACCTCGCGCGCCTCAACCTAACTCCCAATCTTCTCTCACCCCAAAAACATATAAATAGCGACTGGGTGCGAGTCTGGTACGTATACGCAGTACGAGATTGGTCATGCCAAAACGGTGTCTTGAGCCTCTTTTTGAATGCAGAGCCATAGTTAAATCCTTCGAATTCTTTTCCTCTAGATGTCCATTCAAGTTTTTCCAATTTTAAGACTCTATCCTCGAGCGAGTCATTGTCGGTCAATCAGTCAGTCAGTTATGCGAAAGAGCTCTATTGCGATTAGCTGAGTAATATAGAATTAATTATTTTCTGTTTTCTAAACCTTTTTAATCAGTTTAGCATAAAAAAGGGGAAATTGTTTGGTGAAGTCTAAAACAGTCAGTACCGAAAAATGAAGATATTAAGTTCTGAAAATGGGAGCGAAGCGGGTATGTTATTTGCAGAAAATAAGTAGACACAGTAATCATGTTTTTATGGACAGTGGAACCTCGATTTAACGAACCTCTATATAACGAAGTCCTCGATATAACGAATCATTTTGTTCAGCCCGGCCAAAATTATAGTAAAATGTATGGAACAGAACCTCGATTTAACGAAATCTCCGTTATAAAGAACGCAATCCACAAGCGCAAACGTAAAATTTACCTCGATATAACGAAGAAATGTCCGTATGTGATAAAGGATGAATGCCAAACAGAGCTAAACAGACCAACAAGGATAAAATTTTAGTGTACAGTAGTTTTAAGCAGTTTTGTTTGCCTTGTTTTGAGTTTCTAGTGCCGTAGCTATGTATAGCTTGGTACTGAAATGTTATTATAGTACTTTTCCAGATCCGGAAACGCTGGGTTTTGTAAGTTAATGACTAACTATACCTCGATATAACGAACATTTTGGTAGTTTTCCCGAAAAGTCGTTAAATGGAGGTGTTCGATATAACGAACCCTCGATTTAACGAACAAATTTCCCCAGTCCCTTAGCCTGCGTAGCAAGCGTTTCTGTGCGGTTCAGGAGCAAAGAATGAGCAACAAGAGTCAAAGACCGCGCGAGAATTGGGGCAAGTAAAAGAGCGAGGAGGGGTGGGGAAGAAAGGAAGGAAACCCTCCTTCCCCTCTCCCTTACCCCTCTTTCACTTTTTGGTCCTCGTTTCATTTCTCGCGCAATCAAAACCGAAAATCCCTTTCCACGGTCTCTTTTTGCTCCGAAACCAAACGGAAACGCTTGCTACGCAGGCTACCAGTCCCTGGGCACTTCGTATCGAGATTGACTGTATTGGATCATCAAAGTGTTGGGTTACTTCACGGGCGGCCCAAGCTGTGTAAAGATTAGTGCGCTGGACGCGTCGGTGCCGCGTTACTGGCGACCGTTGAAAATAAGAGACTTTGTATGAAAAATAAAATACTGAGATCTGCGCAACCTCGTTCCCAGGGTTTTCTCCTACCCGCCCTACGGAGCGGATAGGAGAGAACCCTGGGAACGAGGTTGAGATCTGCGAACGCTAAATAACGTTAAATCTAATTTTTCCTTCGTCTTATGAAAAGGCTAACAGTGGTTATGCAATAAAGCCCCCAAAACAAGTAAAACGACAAGCAGACACCAAAACACAATGGATGGTCTGCGAAAACATCCGTTCACTCGCTCCTCGCTCTTCGCGCGAAACATCCCCAGCGGCGAAGAGCGAGGAGGAACGGATGTTTTCGCAGACACAACACAGTGGAATACTTCGCAGGTAAGTCTTCTTTATTCATTTCATTAGAAGAAAAAAATAGATTTAACGCTATTTAGCGATCGCGGATCTCAGTATTCTATTTCTCATACAAAGTCCATTATTTTCAATGGTCGCGTGTAACGCGGCACCGCCGCGTCCATCAAGCTTCACCTATCTTTACATCCTTTCAGCTCGTAACGTGAGTTTGAGCCGCCTTTGTTTACTTGAACAATACTTTCAAATAAATCATGCGTGATGTCACGACTTGCTCTGGTTCAATTCGTTCGAAGACATCAAAGCTCCACTCCTTTCTAGCGTAATCTGGAAAATGGCGCTTTTTTTCAAAACTGTGCTTCTGCTCTTCTGCCTTGCAGCAGGTAAGAACCAGGCCACACTTCT